CCCAGCTTAGAGTAGTGCTGGTAAAAGTATATGTCTTTTTAGCCAAAAGATTCCTACACGATGGAACTTCACAATTACTGTAGTCATTTATTAGAACAGTAAAAAGTTTAGTATCATAACGAAAACGAGTTGAATAGAGTCAAACAATTTTAGTACTTGAAAAAAATTAACATGAGAGATAGGTTGAATTACTTATTGAACCGAAAGACTCAGATGCGTTCGTAGATACTGCAACTTGTTGAACACTGTCATTCATTAACATAAGCTTTCACGGTTAAAATGCCCGCTAATCAATTTCAAAGACATAGATCGGCGGTTACTATTTCCAGTCTCACTGTTAATTTTGATACATTGTCAACATTGTTTCACGTCAACAAAATCCATACCACTTAATCTAGTTGATATTGTACTCGACCTTGTGTGTAGATGAGGAATGCCATTTAACCGAATAAATGATCTGCTTTGATTTAATTACCAAATAAAATTTCCGAAAATGTTCGAATAATAAAGATTGATGATAGTTGTCAGTTGCAACATGCAAATTCATGTAAGAAATTTTCACTAAAAATCAGAAAGATATCGATTAAAATCACGCTATCTAATACTGATCGATATCTAATTTTTATCATATTCAACTAGCACCATTTTGATCTACTTTTTAGTTAGAAAAAATCGATTCACATCAGATTTTTCCTGTTTCCCTACCTAGAAAATCTTTCTTGCAAAAAAGAAGTACAATTCGAGCCGGGTCGGATGACTTATTTCGAGTTCTAATGCTACTCGGCAAGACGTAACAACACCAGAATATAACCTCCATGATCCAATCATCCATTCAGCTTTTGGAATGAAGCTCTAATCGATGTTGGTTTCAGTAGTCACATATATGATGTTACATTTTACTTTCTATTTTGCAATATATCACAAAAACACTCTGAAGAATCAATTAGACCTCACATGTTTGTTGCATCCTTTGAATCATGTGTGGAGATCCTTAATAGAATTATATTTCTTGCTGTTATTGATCATAGTACAGACAAATCTTTTGTCACACGCATTCTAATGTATCAATCAAATGCTGTTTTATTATTTCTTTCTTTTCATATGTTGTCGTGCATAATAAAGATTATCAATGAATTTTTTATTAAAATTCTTCAAGTTTAACATTACATTAGTGCAAATATTTTTGGAAATATTGTCCCTAGAATGTACAATAAAACTACTCATCGGTTTCTCATACATAAATACAAGAAGAAAAGAAAATCAATAACGAAGATATGCATCGAAAGAAAAATGAATTCTATATAAAGTCTATAAAAAAAAACATTAATTTATTTTAACAATAATTCGTATTGTTGTTTCTATGCAAATTCATACTGACTGCAGACGAAAAAAATAACTAATTTCAGAGTTCATTTATGAATTCAGGTCATCTTTAGGACATTGTGAAGACTGAAGAGCGATAAAAAGAAAAGTAAACATCATCAGAGTATTGTTGCCAGAAAAAAAAATTTCAATTGTTGTACAAAAAATTCAAATAAATTGCTTTTCAAATAAAAAACAGTACATTCATTTTATTTGCATGTAGTCTCAGTACGAATCACTGAACGAATAACCATTCGGAAAACAAAACAAAACTAGAGTTCGAGTATTTTTTGATCCATTTCAGTTTCAATATATTATTCCAAGAGAAACAATGTCATCAATGAATGAACTGGTACCTGCATCGACACGTGTATCTTTTATTCAGCCTCGGTATCTATCCGATGATCGTCAAATGCAACAATATCAACCAGCAAAACAACAATCACCGAAAACCAATTCTTTGCAATCAAGTTCGTTTGTTAATATAACGAACGAGTAAGAATTAGTTCATAAAATAAAATGATCATACTAACATTGGCTTTTTCATATGAATTTGAATCAGCTCGGAAAAAAAAAAGGCTAACGTGATGCTCGTATCAGGTATTCTTATTAGTGTAGTAGTTTGTGGTGTGCCTTTGGCAGTAATCACCACTTTGTATGTACAAGCAAGTAAGTTTCAAATCACGCGCAATATCTGACTAAAATAACTTACATTTTTGTTGTTTACTAAAGCAGGAAACAACTCTAGTGGATCAACAAATACAGGTTCGCGTGACGGCAATATGTCTCTTTAATGTCTTTATTAATCATGAATTCTTTTTCTTTTTTACAGCAACTAACTCGAGTACTAGTAGTCTGCCTTCACAGTGTAGTTCATACACAATAAACGCAGAAAGTACACGCAATATGGCCTCCTCCTACTATTGTTGCTCTTGTGATAGTAGTCTAATCACAGATTGGTATCGATTTATAGCACCAGCAGGTACTCAATTGGCTACAACTCCAGTTAGCACAAGTTATTGTGGAACAAATTATGGAGGTTGGTTCAATGGTAGTCTTCCAACGACTGTCGGAGCAGTAACAAGCGGTACGGTTTGTGTTAACTATGGTGGTAATTTATGTTACTCAACGTATTCGCTTAGTTCAATACTTGTAACCAATTGCGGAGATTTCTATGTTTTTTACCTGAGAGCAATGACTTCCTGCAATTTTCGATATTGTACAGCATAAAAATGGTGTTGCTTGCCAAAATTAATACAGACAATTCATTTATTTCATTTTTTTGAAACTCGTTTCCTACTAATTGTCATTTCTAATTTTTTACATACAAACTATTCTTTAATAAAACATGACTTTTTTTAATATCGAATTTGTTTAATAAGTCATAAGGGGAAAATAAATCGAAATGACTAATGACAGGAATTTCATTCATTGTTAATCATTTTGTGAAAGGATGTTTTTCGGCTAATCTTATCATCATTGGGCACTCTGTGATAGTAAGATTATATTCATAGATATTACTTACCATGGATTCTGTTGGCTTCTGATGGCAGCATAGAAAACAAGATGTTGTCTTCTGTAACATTCAATAAAAATCTCAAAATTTCAATTAAAATATATTTGGAATATCATAAGTTTTACTGCACGAATAAAATGAGCCGAGCATCTCTTTGTCTATCACATTGGATGTAACAAACAATTGAAGTTGGCTAATGTATCAGTATCTATTTAGAATTCTTGTATAGTTTTATAAGTTATATAATCTTTTCTAAAAAGTATTTATTCATTATAGTAGAATATTAAAAATACTTTGGATTTGTCTGCAAAGCGTCTACTAGCTGACAGTTATAAAAAAAAAAGTGTTTTGAACGACTCAATCAATTACTTTCTGATAATATTTCGTATCAGTATATTACTTTCCAAAAAAATTTTCCCTTCTCAGCAATGTAGGGCAACTTATTTTTTTCGAGCTTTGCACCCAAACTAAAAATTTCGAAGCTTTTGATTATGTCAATACCTTTCACACAATATTGTCTTATATTCTGTAAATAATAATAACGAGCTTCTAGAATTTCATATAGATTTTATCGTCGTAAAACTCTGAAACTTTCTAATTATGCAACAATATATACTTCTAGGTTCTTGCTGTATGTTTCATCAAGAATGATCACGTTCGCAAATAATAGATTTGATTTTATTCATTATTTTCGTTTGCATCACCAATAAGACGAAGACTTCTAAATTCGAAATGAGAAAAAAAAGTATTATTAGTTCTATTTTTAGAATGAAATATAATCAATATAAAATAATTGTGTTGTTCAAATTGTTGAAGTGAAATAAAAAAATTCTGTTTACACCCATGACAGACTATCAGCAACAAACTCAACGAAGAAGTCTCTGGGAGACGGCAAGTTCAATGCCAATAATAAATGAAGCAACACCTTTATCGGCCCGTATATCATCAATTCAGCCTCAATATTCATACGATGAGCGCAAAATGCTACCATACCAACAGCCGAAGCAAGCATGGCCATCGGATAGTTTACAATCAAATTCGAGTATTGATGTAAAGCAAGGGTAAGAATTAGTTCACAAAATAAAATGATCATATTCAAATTGTCTTTTTTTCTGTGAACTTGAATTAGTCCACCACAAAATTTTGTCGCAATGTTCATAGTAGGTACTCTTGGTGGACTGATTGTTTGTGGTGTGCCTTTGGCAGTAATGACTACTTTGTATGTACAAGCAAGTAAGTTTCGAAGTATGCACAATATCTGACTTGAATGTATTACATCTTTTTCTTTTTATAGAAGCAGCAAATAATACTAGTGGAACAAGTAATACAGGTTTGAGTGCCGGAAGTATGTCTGTTTTATTTTCTTAATAATCATTAGTTTGTTTTCTTTTTTTTTTTAGCGAGTAGCACGTATACCGTTAGTTTGCCCTCATTTTGTTCTTCGTACACGAATATCTCAGATGCGACACGAAATGTGGGCTACTCCTCTAGTTGTTGTCCTTGTGACAGTGGTCTAGTTGCAGGATGGTATCGATTTGTATCACCAGCAGGTACTCAATTAGCTACAGCTCCTGTCGGTACAGGCTATTGCGGAACGACCTATGGAGCTTGGTTCAATGGTACTCTTCCGACGACTGTCGGTGGAGTTTCAGCCGGTTTTGCTTGCGTTTACTACAGTGGTAGTATATGTTACTCATCATATTCGGTGGAAGCAATTATTGCCACAAATTGCAACGGTTTTTACGTCTATTATCTGAAGCCAATGATTACCTGCAACTTTCGATATTGTGCCACATAAAAATCATGCTGTTTGCCAAAACTAATAGAGACGATTGATTTATCTCATTTTTATTGAACTCTTTTCCTCCTAACTGTCCTGCGTGCGCACAAATTATTCTCTAATAAATCATTGTATTTTTTTAAATTGAATATGGTGACTAAGGACTAAGAAAAAACATATTGAAACAACCAGTGTCAAATGTTAAATACATTATTGATCACATTGTGGAAGAATGTTCTTGAATTAGTCTTCTTATTCTTTGATGAACTTCAGTAATGAAATGATATTCATAGATTTTATTTACAATGGATTTTATTCGCTATATATAACAGTAAAAGCAAACGAGATGTTATCTTTGTAACATTCAAATAAAAATCTCAAAGTTTTAATTAAAATAGATTTCGTATATCATAAATTTTACCGTACAGATAAAAGAGAAAGAGCATCTTTTGTGATCATAGGAATAACACGAAGAACTAAAGTCGACTAAGTCATAGGAAGTCCTGCGCGAATTTATTTTTTCGAACCCCTAAAATGACGCAACCCTTATAATTGAATGTATATTCAATCCAATACAGCTATACCAGAAAGTTAGATATGTTGTTGATTCTATATTAGTTATTTTCTTGAAATGTGATCATTCAATCGAACCTGGAAACTTTTATAATGATACGGAATACGTATGTCATTGGCATCATAGAAATGTTGTTAGTTTGAAAACAATTTCCCTATTCCTCATTCTTGAATATAGTATTCACAAATCTTTTAAACCGTAGGCAAATCATTGGATCAGCATAGCGTCTTACAATTTGTTATATATTAGGTCCTATGACTTTGACTTCTCTTGGAAAATATGACAACATGGCTACATTCTTTAGTAAAAGTCATCAAGAATATTACAAGTAACACGTGATTCAAAAATAGTATAAGAATTATTTATCTCTATGTCCTATCGATAGCAACGTTCAAAGATGGAACTGATACCTATTATATAGGTCGATTTGGCCCAGTCCAGTAGCAGTGCAGGCTTTAGACCGACTGTTCGCTGATAGACCAATTCAGCTTATCTGCTACTCTACATTTGTTATATAATCTTATTCAAAACCTCTATGAATCATAGTAGTAGTATTTCATAGAAGATAGATTGCGCAATTTATTGAAACTTGACGACGTCAAATAACAGTATTCAGAGATAGAATCAGCATCAACTACCATTCGATTCAAACTCTTCTGATCCACTCAAATCGTTACTAATTCCATTTCTGGTGATGTTCTGAAAAGAAAGAAGGAAAGTAAAACAATTGTTTCATGCTATCCTCATTGAATAGAATGTGTTGGAATGAAATATCATTTTCTATATTTGTCCCATAATGTTTCTACCAGAAAAACGAAAGGATTAACACGTATTTCATCATTGTTACGTCAAATGTTCTTACTTATCATTCTTAAAAACTTTAATAAAAGAATTGAATGTCGTTGTTATGCATCCTTATTGTTATCTAAATCGATATAACTTGGAATTTTACAGTTATTTTCAAGTATGCTGATTCAATCATCTACCTAGGCCACAATAAGTTCGTGTATATCGTAAAGACGAAAAATAGATCGTTCAATCATTTCAGAATTGTTGGAATCGTTGCTATGGGAAATAAACTATTTCATCAATGTGAAGCGATAGTTTACGATCCACTGCTTGTTAAATCCATCGTGAAAAGTAAATAGAATATGGTAAAACTTGATAGAATACATGCATTTGAAACTTATAGAAGTTAGATATATATATTCAATCGTACCAAGCAAATTCCAACATAAATCCACCTGCGAGCTAGTCCCACCAGATCAAGTTGCCGGATTCTATTTAAAAACAGTAGTATGATGAGTTTTATCCTATTCAGAATTCTTCAATAGTTTTGTCAGTTATTTTGGGTTTTTTTAAAACACCATTTCGCTATGTTAGAAAATTAAAAAAATCTTCAAAATGACTCCGAAAAATCTATTAGTTGATAGTTATTGAAAAAATCTTTTTTGAACGATTCAATCGATTGGTTTCTGGTAACTTTTGACATCAGTATGTTATTTTCGAAAAGTAATTTTCGTCTATGAATAATATAATGCAACTTGCTTTTTTTTCTTTCTTTTGTGTCCAAAACAAAATTTGGAATGATTTAGATTGTGTCAATCTTTTTCTTACGATATCGCTTTCCCTTCCATAGATAAAAAGAACAACATTGTACCATTTCACATTGAGACTATTGTCGTAAATCAATGAGACTTTCCAACTATGAAAGAATATGCATTTCTAGCTTCTCGTTGTATGTTTTTGTCGAGATTGATTACGTCGAAAATAATAAATTTTACTTCATTCATCATTTGTTTTGCCAACCAATAATTAGATGAAAACTTTCAAGAACGAAAATAGAAAAGAAAACGTGATTTTTTTATTTTTAAAATAAAAGAAAAATCAGTATAAGATGATTTATTTTGCTGAAGCCTTTGAAATCAAATTAAAAAATTCTTTCAACGCCTATGCAAAACAATCAACGATACACTCAACAAAAGATTATCAGAGAAACAGTAGATTTGATGCCTGTGTCAGTACGTGTATCTTCAATTCAACCTCTGTGTTTATTCGATGATCGAAAAATGCTGTAATACGAACAGACGAAAGGAAAAGCATTGGGCATCTGATTTCATGTTACGTAAACCGCTTGAAAACTCCCGGTTAATTGCGGTTTTCCTACTTGATACTTTTTTATATTTATTGCATGCATAATTTTAAACTCTTACAAAGAATGTTAGATTTCAGTTGAAATTGCGCCACATATTCATTGTGAGCGTGTTCAGTCAGATCGGCTGTTTTCGTTTCCTTTTTGAATTTTATTCTTTATTTAAGATCTTTGACAGTAATGACTAGTTTTTGTGTGCGAGAAAGTATGCTTACTGCCATCCTCATAATCATTGCATTTTTTATTTATATAAAAGAAACTCAGGTTATGACAAGTACTGTTCCAGCACATACGCATTTGGTCTTAATTATACTGCTGTTCCGGAATTGAGAGTGTAGCTACTTGTTGTTTATGCGATTCCACTCTGATTATAATACCAGACCAACGGGTGCACCATAATGAATACGACATACTGTAAATTTTATTTGTTTCTCAAATATTATTCATAAAAAATACTCATTTGCATATCATAAGATAGAAAATTTCACGTTCTACAAAACTGTGTACTTGATTTTTAAAAAGATCTTTTTCTTTGGTATAGCAATCCAAACATTTACACACCTTGGGTATTGTAATTGCGATACATCGCTGCTCTTGCTTTTCAAAAGTACGCAATATTGTGCAAGTTGATTTGCAAACAGTGGCATAGCCAGGAATTTTCCAAGGAGGCCACTAGTTAATAGATGCACGCGTTATTGGAATAAATATTTCAAAGCACTGGCTGAATCGAAAGATGGTGAGTTGCTTCCAGAGCAGCTAATTCTTAACTTACATAGAAACGAATGGCTAAGAGGAAAGCTAAGAGTCAAGGGTCTGCGTAGAACAAAACGATTCATAGATCATAAAATGGTCCTGGAAAAATGTTTGTCCTGGCATGATGAAAACCCCCTCACAGACACAATTGTTCAGTTCTCACGNAACTGAGAAGAAAAAAAAAAAAAAAAAAAAAAAAAAAAAAAGTTTTCGAGGGAGGGTTGGGGGGGATGCGGTTGCACACCAGTAGAAAAATAATTTTTTTTTCAAAAAGATTTTTTGCCCGTACCCTCTTCAGATATTCTTTGGCCAAGGAAGATGCCTGGGTACCCTGTGCACCTCCCCCTCTGGTACGTCCCTGTTTGCAAAGCAAAGATTTTTATATGAAAAGATATAGAGAATTGAAAATATTAATAAAATGTTCTTTATAGTAATTGTGGAAAATTCTTAAACCAAAAAGGCAGAATTCTATTCTATACCAGATTGCGTGATTAGTGAATCAAACGGCGACATCTTTTTGATAAAACTCACAAAAAATTGAACAAGCTCCAAGATGCATTTTAATTCAGTGTTTTTTACTTCCTAACTTTTCATCTAAGTTTTTTTATTTAAAATTTTTGAAGTATAGCTGAAACAACGGAGAATTTGAATTTCATTGAGACATTTTTGGTTTGTTTAGAAAAACTAGTAAATGTTTACTGCCGACGTGATGTATTTTTTTTTATTTATTATGCTGTCGTAGTAAGAATATACAATGTACGTTACTGTCTTGATTGCTTCGTAACAAGAAAAGATTTCATTCAAACGTAAAGTAATTACATAGCACCACATCCCACATGATATGTATAAATGTCAAGAAGATTTTATGTTATTCATCATGGTCGACTAGTTCTATCTTTGTAGCGAACTGTGATGATTGTTTTTGAATTTTGTGAAAATGTTCTGCGTAAATTTGACAATGACAAGACAAATAAAAATAAAATTTCTACTTAGATTTAAATAAGGATGTCGTCATTTCAAGATTTGCTTTGATTTCAAAGTGAATTTTAGGAAAAAACAGATAGTATTTCTCATTTTTGTTATCTTTTAGTAAATTTTCAAAAAAGTTTACACGACTTTCTATTCTGATAAATACTTTTCTATAAGTTCATGTCTCAAATAAAGATAAAAACACTTGATTCGTATGTTTTTCTTTTAATAAATTTTAATTTTGTGTGATTTAAAGCACATTCAATAGTTATTAGAAGGTAATTTCAAATAGGTGTTGCCTATTAAAAAAGTCTATCAGTTCTACTATATAAGCACATTCCTAATAACCAACGGCATAATTTTGTATTAACATCGATTTTTCAATCATCTAAAACAAAACTCAATTTCAGAATATTGATCTTCAACGTAGCAAATGACATGTGACACATTCTTAAAAATTTATTTCATAACTTTATCTTTTAAATTCATTAGAAAAAATCAAGATGGAAAGAGTTAATTTTTAAAATATTTTTATCAACTTTAAATCAGAAAAATCAATATTACCGAAAAAGCACATATCGAAAAAAGTCTGGTTATCAACCTCTTGTGCTTTGATTTTAAGTATTTTCGTATATGTAAATCTGTAATTAGAATTTGCTTTTTGAAAAGAAGACGATTCGTATATTTAAAGGGTTAGGCCGACCATACTAACTAAATAACGTGATGCTTTTGATTTTTTCAATTATTAAGATTTTTCTAAAGTATTCGATTAAATTGAATTTTTTGATTCAATTTTGACAGAAAACTAAAAAGTCAAGTAATTACCCTCTATTTGTGAATAGAAAAAAAATCAGTTTAATCAAAAATGTCTCGTTATAACCTTATTTCCGATGTTTATATTTCATTACTTGAAGGAGATATGGAACTAAAATATTTACTCTAGATAGAACTCACACAGATTTCTACTCGATAAAAGTATCAATTCTATAAAGTCTTGTTTTCGTTCAGGAAGATTTGGTAAGCGTTCGGTTTTGACGAAAATCCGGACTTTCAGTCGGGGTTATCTACCAAGAAATCTGTCGCATTGAGAGCTAGCATTCAGGAACTGGAAGTTACATTTATGGCTTACAATGTCATATAAGAATGAATCTGGGATCTGAAGAAACAACCCAGATAAGGGTTTATCTTCGGGAGCTCGAATGAACTCGGTGATGGGATTGGTAGTCCTTCATTAGGAATTACAATCAGTGATAGAGTATTGTCTGACGTCTATATCTCAAAGCCCGTCTTTGAGAAACTCAAGAAAACTTGACTTTGGTCTAAAAACTTGTGTATTCTACCAATTAAAGAAAAAAACATGATACTTCAAGTCATTATTCATAAAGAATTAGTTATACAACACGAAGGCGACATTGTTCCAGGAAAATCTGGTTACAACTTGACAACTTTGTTGACGATTTTGCGCTTGAAGTACTCGGTTTTCCAGAGATCCATCGATCAGAACCCAATTTTTGAGGTTCAAACCAAGAGCATGTGAAAAAGCATGGTTAAAAATCCATTATCCATGATGTTTAGATCAACAAGATATATTGGAAGAAAATGGTGATGTGTTCAAATTTTTGAGCACACTGGTACAGGTGTTTTAAACAAGATCTTTAATTGCATTCTTTCTTATTTAAGCCATTGATGTATTGATTACGGAAAAAACAATGTATAGTGACTTTTTGGCTATGCGCTTCTAGGTGTGCCAGGTCTGGACCTCAAACTTTGAGTTCTAATTTTCAGATCTTTGTAAAGTCTAGGATTTCGGGCAAAAAAACATCAACAAAGTCATCAAATGGCGAAAGAATGTTTCTGCGACGATGTCGCCCTTGTATTGTATAAATATTCTTTATGAACAATGACTTGGAGTATCATGTTTTTTCTTTAATTGGGAGAGTAAACCGGCCTTTAGGTCATATGCAGATTATCTTGAGTTTTTCACAGCCTAACTTTGAGATATAGATGTCAAACGATAGCGATCGTGCTGAATATCGAAAGGTGTTTATATTAGATGATTAAAACGACACTATTACTGATTGATATTCCTAGTGAAGGATTGCCTACTTCGTCACCAACTATATTTTGGCTTCCGAGAATGATCCATTATCTGAGGCGTTTCTAGAAATTCCAATTTCATTATTATATAACGTTGTAAACCACAGATAATGACTTTTAACTTCTCAATACTAGCTCCCAAGGCCACAGCTTTCTTGGTACATGGCTGCAATGAAAATTCTGGATTTTCATCAGATACCCGACTTGACAAGGTCTTTCTGAATGCAAGCAAGACTTTATTCTGTTAAAATTTTTTGTCGAGTACAGATCTCTATAAATTCTATCTGCAGTAAAAATTTGAAACCTCAATCGCGTTTCAATAATGAGATATAAAGCTTCAAATTTGATGAAAATACTGACTTTAGCCTATATAACTAAAATTCATAGAATATCAAGAACTAAAGTATTTGCTCTGAAAATTTCGTTATGAGCAGAACTCATTGATATATGGATCCATAGAAAATCTTAGCTCGATTGGTCAAACTCCTCTTTTTCAAGAGTGTATCTTTTGACACTTTCTAGAAAAAATCAGTACAAATCAACGTTTCAATATTTATTAAAACTGCTTGCATCAAAATTCATAAAACTTTTACCTATACAACATATATTAAATTGACCAATATCTGACGACCTCAATTGAGCACATTCTCTAGACGTCGGTCGTGGCTTACTTGGATTGGCTGATATAACAAATCATTGTTTATATATCGTATGAGCAACATTCAGAATAAATTTACTTTTTGAATTATGACAACGTGTTTCACATGTGTTTTCAAAGTAAAAAACCATATCTAGTATGTAGAAAGGAAAAATAAGAATAAATCAATTTCACGTGAATAATTTGATACAAGAACCGAATTTGAATGACATCTCTCATGAAAAATTTGATTGCGTTTTGAGGAGCAAGAAATGAGTCATATTCAAAATTCTTGTCTCGAGGTTTCTAGACGCATAGTTGTTTATAAATATTTGAACTAATAAAAATTATATATATACTGATATAACTATCGTTGCATATTTAAAATAATTATTGAAAAAACATATTTGGAAATTCACTACGAAACTTGTAATTTGCCAATATTTCGTCATATAGTACTATTTTACAGTCGTAATACTTTCGCAATTACATCCTCCTTTATCTTCATACTCTCTCAACTGCAAAACATATAAAAGCATTCGTGTTTTCGGTATTAAGTAATTTCAAAAGCCATTTCTATTTCAGACAAATTATGACTGAAAGTTGTGCTTCATCAGATCAGTCTCAAAATATACCTTTGCAAGAAGCATATTTAAATACTAATAATAACGATAATAATCATAATAGACGACAAAAACGTCGACCAGCACAAACAAGTTCACAGGACGTTCGTTATAATCATCGTTTATATCAACAACAACAACAACAACAGCAACAACAACAATGGTATCCACGTCATATGTATTATAATGAATATTACTATGGACCGTCACCTTCACGCGCAGGACATTATAGTCACAGTCATCAACAACAAAGACGAGCACAATTTCGTCATGGATTATCATCTTCACAAGCAAATCAACAAGTAACTAATCGTTCAAATAGTAATTCATCAGTACGATCAACAAGTGAAGTTGAAAATCTTCGTTCAACATTAATTGAACAATTATTAAAAAATAATTATGAATGTATGATATGTATAATCAAAATTGAGTATGTTTCATTGTATTATATCATAAATTTAAGCGTAATTCATATATATATATATATATATCTTTTTTTTTGTTCAGACGAGATCAAGAAATATGGTCATGTGATATATGTTATAAAATGTTTCATTTAAATTGTATTAAGAAATGGGCTCATTCAGAAGAAAGTGGTACAGATAAAAATTGGCGTTGCCCCGGTTGCCAATATTCTTATTCAACAAATCCAGTTTATAGATGTTTTTGTCATAAACGCATCAATCCTATATTTCAACCTGGTGAAATTGCTCATTCATGCGGTGAAAGATGTGATAAACGTTTGAATACTAAAGCTAATGATTGTAATCATAGTTGTTCAGAGTAATGATTTTATTGAATTAAAATTTTGTTTTATATTTTTTTGTTATTAGACTTTGTCATCCTGGTCCTTGTCCAACATGTACAACAATGATAAAACGTTCTTGTTTATGTGGACGTGAATCTCGTACTGTTATGTGTAGCTCAAATTCAATAATTAAATGTGAAAACAAATGTGGTAAACTTAAATCGTGTCAACATCATACTTGTGATTTGGTAAATTAGCATTTCAATAACGAGCGTTCGGAAAGTTTTTAGACAAGATGTTTGTTCACTTGTTATCTGCTACAAAGTATTTTTGATAAGAATCAAAAGCTATGAGTTAGGACCAGAATTTTGTGTTCGACCTAAAAATTTTGTCTCAGCTTTTTTTTTGTTCGCAATTAGTGAAATAATTTTTGAAAAGTTCAAAAAATGGCCAAGGTTTTATTATTTTAGGGGACAGTATCTTTTTTTCAAAGAAACTAGAAAGACCCAGGAAATGAATAATAGAGATCTGATTCGATCGTTCTACATGAAAAAATATTGTTTTGGAAAAGTATGCATGCTTTGTTAATTAAGAGTTTCGAAAAAGACGTGTTTAGTGTAGTTGGTGTGCACATTTTAGAACAGTCTCTAACTCGATGGAACTTTCACAGAATGTTTTTTCACTGTTGAAAACGTCTATTCAGTTAGCATAAATACTGCTGGATAGAGATATAAGTTTTTCGTAGTTTTCTGTTTCAGAAGTATTTAAAAAGAAAAATAAGATTATATTTGGAATTAACACGAAAATTTGCACTAAATGATGTGACATTCGTTAATTCTTAAAATGAAAATTTTTTTCCAATAAAATTTTACAGTAAGGACTTCATCTTCATTCATTTCACTTTTTTGTTGAGTACTGGAAATTAATGTTTGTTTAAAAAATGTATTGTTGATAGAAAATAAGCCGTATTCATTTACTCTATAGAAATTGTTCACTATAACTTGTGGATTGATGCTTTCGATGAACATGCTTGTTCACTTCAGTCTACTTGACAACATTTCAAACGAACCCAAAAGCTCTAGGTCACGACCAGAATTTAACGGGCTGAGCTTNAAACAAACATGTTTATCACATGGAACTGAACGTGAAGTTTTATGTACTAATGAAACTGGTGGTACAAAAACATTTACATGTGGTGAATCATGTGGAAAATTACTTTTATGTGGTCACCAGAAATGTACAAAAACATGTCATGATGGACCATGTCCAGATTGTTTATTATTACCAGAAAATTGTAAAACATGTGCTTGTGGAAAAACAATCATGGATAATCAACAACGATCATCATGCATTGATCTAGTATGATTAAAAAATTAATTTTTTTTTTGCTTTTCTGGAAATGATGTTTTTTTTTTATTTAGTTACCAACTTGTGAGAAATTATGTGAAAGAATTTTATCCTGTGGTTCGATCGATGATCCTCATCAGTGTTTAAGTCAATGTCATAATGGACCATGTCCATCATGTAGTACACAAATAATTCTTCAATGTCGTTGTGGAAAATCAAGTAAATCAATATCATGTGTAGAAGCAATAGAAGATGATCCAATAGAAAATCCTTTTCGTTGTAAACAAAAATGCAAAACAGTTAAATCATGTAAAACACATCAGTTAGTAATTTTCTTTAATTAAAATATAAAAAAAAAATTTTTATATAGATGTTCTCGAATATGTTGTAATCTTGATAGTCATCAATGCAATTTAGTCTGCGGTAAAATACTTAATTGTAATATACAGTATGTATTTGATATAAAATAAAAAAAAATAATAATTTAATATATATTCTTTTTCGTTTAGTAAATGTGAAGAATTATGTCATAGCAAGTTTTGTCATACTTGTTCATTATTTGACCAGGAAATAAAATGTCATTGTGGTAAAACAGTTCTTAAACCAAAATCTAAATGTTTGAAAATTCTTCAAAAATGCTATTTTTCATGTAAGCGAGAACATGAATGTGGTCATCCTGCTAATCATTGGTGTCATAATGATGATGAATGTCCACCTTGTACACATCCTGTTTCAAAAATGTGTGTTGGAAAACATATGTCATTTGATGTAAAAACATTTGTTTTATTTTTTATCAATTATTAATTAACAAAGATCTATTTCCTTTTAGGTTCCATGTCATGTAAAAATAGTATGCTGTCGTCAAGGGTGTGGTAAATTTCTTCCATGTGGAGTTCATACATGTCAACGTTCATGTCATTCTGATTCATGTCAATCATTTGATCAAAAATGTACACAACGATGTAATATAAAACGATATAAATGTGGTCATAAATGTAATTTAGTTTGTCATGGATCTGAACCTTGTCCAGTAACAACATGTGAAGCAATAATTAAAGTTCGATGTCCATGTGGTAGTTTAGAAAAAAAATGTTATTTGTAATACAAAATCAAATGAAGAAAAAAATGATATTTTTAATATAAAATCAAATGAATTTAATGAAAAAGATTCTGATTTTAATTTAACATCACATATTGAAGCATTAAAAATTTACATAGAAAATTCAATATTTGCATGAAAACGACAACAGCAACAACAACAATTAGAATGTGATGATGAATATCGTGTCATACAAGAAAATAAAAATTTAACTCAACCCTTCTCAATTAATCTTGATGCACCACGACAATTACCAACTGTTTATACAGAATTTTTACGTGATTATGCAAAGAAAAATTTAGAATTTGTTCAAACTATTGAACGACAATGAACTCAACTTGTTGAAGAAACTCAAGCTGTTCGTCGTTTAATACAATTTTATTCGTTCACACCAATGAAATTTCATGAACGTTATTTAATTCATCAATTAGCACAATTTTATGGTCTTCAAACATAAGCAATGGATCCTGAACCAAATCGAAAGATTGTTGCATGTGCATCTTATGACATATGTAAAATTCCATCAATTACATTAAGTGAAACAATTGTACCTGAAAAACTTTAAATACTATGCCTCCTGTGATGTTAATATTAATAAATTGACACATTTATTCTTACATCTATATTTTTTTATTTAATTTTCTTTTTCTTCTATTTATTCTTTTCATATTTGGTTAAAATAAAAACCAATTAGCTCAATATATATGTTCTTATTATCATTGTTAACCCTCATACCACCACCTGTGATCAGCGCATTCTCCACGAAGTTTCTTTTCAACGTTTTTTATATACTGTATCTAGAACTTGTCACTTTAATTTGTATCTCGATAGATGGCAATATGGCATACTAAGAATATATATATCGGTCTGAACTAGTTGCTGTTGATCTAAGCTCCGAAATCAAAATATTGTTCAAACGTGTTTTTCCATGTGGGATCCGTACGGATCCCAGGTGGTGAAATTCTTGTTTTGTTGTTTTTTTATCTTGTAACTGTGTATCAAGAAAAACTTTTGGGTAAAAAATTCTTTAGAAATGAGGATTTCATGTTCTAACAGTTGATATTTGAGTTTAAGTAAAATAATGAGAACATTGTCTGATGAAAAACAAATTCAAGAAGATTTTTTAATCGATTTCAACTTAGTCTAAGCATAATGCTATATGTTATGATGCATTCGATATATGATAAACATGAAAACAGTCGAGTAGTGACCGCACGATTTCTATTTGTTATAAATGAGAAAAAAAAATATTTTTGGCAGATAGAAAAATAGTATCAACCATTCCTCATTGTCTAACACGACTATTTTAATATCATTCTCATAGACGGCAATGAGTAAATTAAGTTATATATATATATATAGAAAGACGCAGAAAGAGATAATAATCGTGAAATATGAACACTTCAAATAACAATGATATTAATATACTCGATTTACCTGATGAAATGTTACTTATTATTCTCAGCAAATTGGATATGGCTGATGTATTCTATTCACTTGTGGATCTAAATAATCGCTTTAATCAATTAGTACTCGATCCTCTCTATATTCATCATTTGGATTTAACAGTCAAAAAATCGCTTGATCATAATTTTCCAGTAGATAATCAAGTTTTCGATCAAATTCGCACAAAAGTTTTACCTCGAATTCATCATAAAGTGAATAAAATCACGGTTACATCACCTTTTATGGAATTTATTTTTAATACAGTTGATTACCATCAACTTCACTCGCTATCACTTGTCAAATTTCAACAAGAAACACTTTTACAATATTTAGCAAGTATATTCTCTAATTTTTTTTTTTGATTTAATGAATGAAGCATCTTTATTACCAAATATCAAATGATAATCATTTTTTTTTGTGTATATTTAAGGTGATGTAATATTTTGTCGTGTTCTNGAGTGAGGGAAAGTTTCTGGTTCCTTTTGTTGTGAGTTAAACAATCGATTCCGTTGCACGTAAAACCATTAATAAAGCTGTTTTTGTTATTGCTGTTCCTAGTTGTATTTGTTGTGCATCATCTTTTTTAAGTTCAAGCATTCGATTAAATGTACATTTTAAATCAATTAAACTTGTACTTTATTTATCCAAATTAAAATTACCAGTTTTAGCAAATAAAAGTTCATTTTTGAAAAGATCTAAAATGATCAGCTTGTGTTGCAAGAGATGTTGGAATACCTGTTTCTCGATTTTCGGTTATTGGAATATCAGACGCATATTGTCGTAATTGTTCATCGTTTTTTAAGTTTTGTGTTAAGACGAAGTTGATCAACAAGTGCAAGAACGTGAGCCCAACGACTACGAGCGAAACAACTAGTTTGTTTATTCGTAGAAGAATGATTATCGTTATCGTTAGAAACACTTGATGATATTGATGTTTCACTCATTCTTCTAAAATAAAATAGAAAAAAAATGTAAATATATCTATTTGTATAATATCATCAAATTCATTTCGAATTTCTCGCAATGGTAATGTACCTTTTGGTGAGAGCTAAACAAAAATGAAAATCATGCACAAGACAATTTATTGTAATCAATAGAAATCTGTCGATGTAATATTTTTAATAGATCCATTGATAAATCAGTGTCAGTCTTTTGCGTAGCTATAGATGTTTCAAGACCTAATTAGAAATCATTTCTTTGTTTTTTTTATTTCGAAATTGATATTTTATTCTTACGTTCTTTAACCGGTGGTGTTTCACCGTTCGCTAATGCTCGAAAATATCTATAATTATATAAAATGATCAGATAAATGAATATTTAATGAATAAAACATACGCAACACTCCAAGCAAATACATCAGTTGGTTGTGTACGAATAACAACTTTAGAAAATTGAAGTAATATATCTGGTAATTCCGGTGAAATTGGAATTTGTTCATTTGTATAATAATGTTCATCGGGCATCTTTGACGAAGACATAATTTATTCGAATACAAAAAAAAATGAATAGAGTTAATAAGCTGTCAACACATTTCTACCATTGATATAAGATCATCCTTAACATTCGATCCTCATTTGATTGTTTGATAAAAATTTTAAAAAAATATTATTATTATTATCATCTAATTTTATAATTAATTTTGAAGAAAATTTATTTTTAAATGATAAGCTAATTAAAAATTCAATGGAAACTAGTGCGGGAGTGTGGGTGTGTGGGTGGTTGAACTAAACACTGGTATCTACACCCACATCCACCCACCCACACCCACATCCATAATTTGAATGATACGATCAATTGAATTGACATTTCCTATTCGAACGTCATCTGATCTTCGTAATTTAATTATGAAAGTAAATTAATTAAAAAATTGTTTTTTCTTTTTGTAAGAAAGTTTTTATTTTATTTTAGTTACTTCGTGGACATCCAACTGATCGATTACCTTTGAAAGATGTTGCACAATATGTTTGGATATTAAAAAATGCAGATATAGCTGCTATTGAAGATAACTATGTTAAACGAAAGAAAATATTAAATAGAGAAAATTAAAATTTCAATACTCTATTTAAATATTTCGACTTTATGTTTTATGTTTCTTTGCATATAAATATCATTAATTCTATTCTGTGATTTGTTCTCTTAGATTTCTATGTAATATATATGTGTGCTAAACAGTTATTATGACATTAAATTCAGTTCTTCCAAATAGTAAAATCAAGTCATTATAATAATATAAACCAGATCTACTAACGGTAAATGGCCGGTTCGGTTCGATCCGGTCGAGAATTATTGGAAGTCGGACAGTTACTCCCAGGACACTTGCTCACGGGTGCGGGTGAGGATGAGGGTGATGGTTTTAGTTAGTGATGGTGTGAATCAGAGTTAGTGTAGGTGTAGAGATTCTCTACGTGCACACATATATCCACACTTACACTCACAGTCGTGAAGTGTTCTTGCGAGCAATTGTCCTAAAGCCTTTAATTTTTCCTAGGACAATTTAAAATTCTACTGAATTTTATTTTCTACTGAAACATATATATTCTTTCTAGATTAAATAAAGAATCATTTTTCAAGCAAAAATGGACAAAAGACAAACTGATTTATTTGCCGTAAGTACAAAACATTCTTGGTACGTTTATATAATATTAATATATTTCATTTGATTTAGACGTTTTGTAATCTAGATGACGTTTCAGACGTAAATAATGAACAACAAACATCATGTTTTGAACCATTATGATTAAAAAATGTATTGTTTTTGAAAAATAGATTTTTTATTTAGTTACCAATTAGTGAAAATAAATGTGAAAAACTTAAATCATGTCAACATCATATTTGTGATTTAGTAAATTTATTTAAATAAATTAAAATTTTATTTTATTATTTAATTTTGGATTTGTAATCCACGAGAATATCAACCATGTGATCAATTAATTAAACAAACATGTTTATCACATGGAACTAAACGTGAAGTTTTATGTACTAATGAAACTGGTGGTACAAAAACATTTACATGTGGTCATCATAAATGTACAAAAACATGTCATGATGGACCATGTCCAGATTGTTTATTATTACCAGAAAATTGTAAAACATGTGCTTGTGGAAAAACAATTATGGATAATCAACAACGATCATCATGTATTGATCCAGTATGATTAAAAAATTAATTTTGTTTTTTGAAAATGAGGTTTTTTATTTAGTTACCAACTTGTGAGAAATTATGTGCAAGAATTCTATCATGTGGTTCGATCGATGATCGTCATCAATGTTTAGCTCACTGTCATAATGGACCATGTCCATCATGTAGTACACAATTAATTCTTCAATGTCGTTGTGGACAATCAAGTAAATCAACATCATGTTCATGTGATCGTTTGGTAAAAGATATTGTTTGTAATGTAAAATCCAATGAAGGAAAAGATGATGCTGATTTAACTCAATCACTGGTTCGAGCATTATCTGTTCGAACAATTGATTTAACACTTGCACGAAAACAACAGCCACAACAACAGGAATTAGAATGTGATGAACGTCGTATAATCCAACAAGATGAAAATTTAGCTCAAGCATTATCAATTAATCTCAATGAACGACGACCATCACCAACTGTGTATACAAATTTCTTACGTGATTATGCCAGAAGACATTTAGAACTTGTTCAAGCTATTGAACGAAAATTTAGTCTACTTGTTACATTAACTGAATATCATGGTCATCCAACACGTCATCATCATGGTTTAAAACTATATTTTTCATTGAAACCAATGCATGTAGATGAAGATCGTTTAATTCATACATTAGCAAATTTTTATGGTCTTGAAACGCAACAAGTGAATTAGGGACCATATGAAAATAAAATTGTTATATATGCATCTTATGCCATATGTAAAATGCCATATGTTACATTAAGTGGAACAATTCAAAGAGAAAAACTTTAAGATTCCATCTGCAACATTGGTACAAACAAATGTAAGTATATTTATACAAAGACTTACATCATTTTTTTCTCATTTCTTTTTTTTTATTTATTGTTTTTATATTTTATTAGAATGAAAATAATTAGGTCAATGTATATGTTCTTATTTTCAATGTTAAAAGAAATATAATTGAATAATTTGCATTATGAAACATATTTCTCAAACGTAATGCTACAGATAAATTTCTTTTTTGTTTCTTTATGTTAGATTACGGTCATATAATAACCTCGAATATATATTGTCGATCATTACTCATGATATCTCGACTTACTATAAATACTTCTACCATTGCAAGTCGATGTTTAGTAGCATCATACAATAATCATCTGATATTTTCTTCTCAGTAGAATCATCGCTATTTTAGCTCAAAATAGGATAAACAAGTAACCCTCTGATCGTATATGTCAATTTTTTCGTTAGTTCACAGGGTGAGCGGTACCGATAGGTTCTACAACATCAACAACTTCACATCCCACACCACTTTCAATATCATCAACAACTATGCGACGAGTAAAACGTTTTCTTGCTCTTTCATCATTGATAGAAGATTTTTTTCCTTCATTTACATATTATTCAAGATGAAGGTTTAGCTAGATTAATTTCAAAAACTGCTGCAATAATAATCTATGCATTTATTGATATTACTACACTTGGAACATTTGGTATTGATACTAAACTATTATTAGCTAGTATTGGTATAACAGTTTTTACAATTAGTTTTTGCTCTTAACCCTTTGAGGACGGTGGGACATACGTTGTCTCACCTATTTGTCAGTAAAGAAAAAAATATTTTATTCACATTAAACTGTCAGACCTGTAAGATCATAAAGGTCGTAGGTTGCCCCATTTGTCATCTCGTACATATTTTTTCTTTCTTGCTTTTTGTCATATAGATCCGTCTTAGATGTTCTCTTTTCTTTCTGCTACTGTCAAATGACGGCACAATTTCTCTCTGTTCTCGTTATATATTGTCTTTCGAGAATATTCAAGTTGATTCTCGATTCTCGATTCTCGCTCTTTATTGCTCTGGTATATACACTTGTTTCTGTTCTCATTGACGGAGTTACATTGTTCTTAATTTTGCAATAGGATTGTCGTTTCTTTGTCGATACGAGGTAGAGGTAAGTCGTGATGTTGAAATGAAAGACGTGAAAACAGTTATCCCATAAGCTTTCAAATTTTTTTACATTATGGATTATGCAACAAACTTTGTTTATTTTTTCATTCAAGAGAAATCAAGTTACATGGTTTCAATGCCAAAATTTCTTTGCTCTAGAGTTGAGCGGATAAATCTTGAAAGACCTTAATCTGAGAAGAAGCCTGAACTAGCATTCCCGCAATCAATTCTTCATTTTGAGAATGAAATGTATTTGCGTGTAAAAGAAACATGAAGATGTGCTTACTGTAGCAAAAAGAAGTATTAATCAAAACAAATATCGAATGCTTCATTTGTAAATTAGTATTCGGTTTAAAAGATGAGAAAAATTGTGTTTTGATTATCATAATCTTTTATGTAATCATGTTGAGTCAAATAAAATAAAATGATTGAAGAATCATTTCGGAAAAAATTCTGTCTTCAAAGGGTTAAAGAAGAATCAAAAAATTTTATATCAGGTATTTTTCTTATTATTAATAAACCATTTGTTCGAGGATATCGAATTAAAATTCATGAAAGTGATGGTAGAATTGAAGGTATATTTATTTTCATTCTAATATAATTATCTACATATAATATTCAATTTTGTCTTATACAAAAGGTCTTATTCATTATATTGCTGTGCGATATGTACATCTNTATGACTCATTAAGCAAAGAAATAAGAAAAGGAATTTGCCATGCACCAGCAAATTATCTTCTTTCCAGAATCAAAATCTAATCGCTAAAATCTTTGTGCATTATGAGAAAAAAAGAGAAACTATAAATTCAGCGATCTTATGTAAATTGTAGAGCTTTTCACGCTGTATCTTGTGGTATATCTTGTTTTTTTAATACAACCTATTAAGTGATTGAAAATGGAAATGCTAACCGCGACTATTTATTCAGTCTCATCCATTAATATGGTGGGAAGTAGCATACGATATAGGCGTTTCATTTTGGGTATAGAAAAAATCATCAGAACATGTTAAGATGGATTTTGTATTACCACTTTTGTAGAGCTTTTTACGGCGCATCTTTTGGTAAAAAATCAAGGCTTTTCTCACGTATCTATGCTGAGACATATGCAAAATAAAAAGTGTGCAAACATTTTGGGACACTCGATACAAAGTGGTTTTAAGTTATTTCAAAAATCTGACTTTCCTTTTTTTGTTTGAGAGAAATACGAAACCGATTTCATCTCTGAAGAATACTTCCGAGTATCTATCGTCAAAGTTTCAGCTCGATCCAACAAATTGTGACGGAGATCTTAGGCAGCCGAGTGCGATCCTATGCAAAATCTTCTATAAATTTTTTCTATTAGCACATGTTCCCTTATTTTAAGTGTTCTATCTGTCGTAAAAATTTCATGCAAATCGGTTGTACCCTGTTTAAGAAGTAGAGAAATGGGGGAGTATCCTAATATATACTTACTAGTAAGAGCTGATGGAATAATTGGAGTTATAATTCCAGCTAAAATAATAAATATTGCGTACCAACGTCCAATTTTATGACTTCTTAATGATATAATAGCAACTATAGTAGCAATTAAATGTACAACAATAGATGTCATAAAGCACCACAGAAATATTTCAGCCCATATATCTATATACAAAAAAATAAAAGAATTATTAATAACAAGTGCGTCATAAAGGAAAATAAATAATGGATTACCTCCAAATTCAACCAGACGATGTTTAGGTGTTAATTTTAATGAATCAAGAATACGTCGAAATGAAAGTTCTTTGATAAATTCCGGCATCGAAACGAAACGTTTTTCCTATAATAAATAAACGAGCAAAGAATGAATCGTAATTCATTATTTTTTCTCATTAGATCAATTCTTATCCAATCATAAAATATATTGTCTTCTTTTGAAAGTCTCTCACTAGGTAACTTTCTTCAATAATGGTAACAGTTCATCATTGATTTAAAAATTAAAAAGAAAGAAACTAGATATTATTCAATTTAATTTAATTGAACAATGCGTCTAAAATTTACATTTCCACCAACACTTCGTCATGCTGATCGTGTCGATTGTGTTGGATGGATGTCAGCAGATGATTTATATTCTGTTGGAGAAGATCATATGATATATAAATATAATGTTGTACAAAATGAATTGATTAAAGTAGCTGAATTAGCACAAGATCTTTATCCACTTGATATGCATTGGTTACCAAAAGGTGCAAGTCTTGGTGGAGGTGGACAAGGATCAAGTTCAGTTTCAGGTGGAAAACGAACAATTGGTTCAGATCTTTTTGTTTTAGCAACAAGCGATGGTAGAAGATTAGATACTTGTTTTTTTTCTTTTATATAAATAAGATTTCTATTTGATTGATATTTAGGTAAATTTTGTTTTGTGAATAAGAATGGACGAATAGAAAAAACTGTTGAAGCACATCGAGGAGCAACAATTTGTGTTCGATGGAGTCCAGATGGAAGTCAATTTGCGACAGGTTGTTTTTTCCTCTTTTCCTTTTATGTTTAACAATTAAGTTTCTTCTTAGGTGGCGAAGATGGACAAATTCGAATATGGGCACGATCAGGCATGTTACGTTCGAATCTTGTTCAATCAGGTAAATTTTAATTATCTTTTATTTCTTTGTTTTATTTTTATTTTTATTTTTTGAAATTAGCAACACCGATATTTTGTGTATGTTGGTCGGCAGAAAATGATGCAATACTCTATTGTGCAGGAAAACATCTTGTTATGAAACCACTTTCACCTAATTCAAAACAAAATTCGGTATAAAAATGAGATGCTTTGCTTTTTGAAAATATGTTAAAATGTTTTTTTTTCTGTGTAATTTAGTGGAAAGCACATGATCAGATTATTTTGAAATGTGATTGGAATACCGTTAATAATTTAATTATATCAGGTGGTGAGGATTGTCGATACAAAGTATGTTTTTTTTCCGATTATCTTATCTTTTTAAGATTTTTTGTTTTTTTTATAAATAAAGGTATGGGATGCAGTTGGTCGTCCATTATTTGCTAGTCAAGCATTTGAATATCCTATTACAAGTCTTGCATGGGCACCGGATGGATCAAATTTTGCTGTTGGTTCCTATAATACAATACGTTTATGCGATAGTGCTGGGGTATGTATTTTATAATAGAATTTTCTTTTAAAATGAATAAATTTAATCCGAATGATAACCAATGGACAATGAAAGTGCAAAGCGATCTGAAATTCTCAGTATTGAACAAGGGAATTTCTTCAGATATGGTCTCGGTTTTCGACCGAGACCATATTCATCTGATCAGTATTGGTGAGTAATAGAAAAGTCTAGAATGGTTTGGTTTTTCCGGGTCTTTGTTCTTGAGATATGGAAAATGTACTGGATTTTTCAACAAAAAGCTGTGGTTCCTCTCAGGTTACATTAGAGTTTCGACTTCAAACTTTGCACGAATAAAGTGCTTAATGAGATTAGTTGACTGTGCAACTTTTAACTTTTCAAATATATATTTTCTAGAGATGTAAGCATATGAACAGAATATGCTTTTATACATGAGAGAATTTCTAATGTAGAATATCTCGGAAGAAGCGATATTAGAAAAAGTTACATCTTGTCAAGTGACCTAATCTCATTGAGAACTTTATTCGTGCAAAGTTTGAAATCGAAACTCTTACATAACCTTAGAGTGACCTACAGCTTTTTGTTGCAACACTTAGGAAAACTTTGATATCTCAAGAACGAAAACGTGGAAACACAAAGCGTTTGAGACTTTTCTATTACTCATTACTACTCACCAAATAAACATTGTCTCGATTGAGAAACAATTTGATATCTGGAGAGGTTCTCTTGTAAAATAGGAAACTTGGATGATAGTGATTTATCTAAGAGTCGATCAATGGTAAATCAATACTACTCTCAAAGATCTCAATGTAGGAGTGATTGTGGTGAGCTAGTTGTCTGCCACGTTTTAGAAGACAGTTTTTTGTAGCTGAATTTTGCCAGACAGATTACCTTGAACGATCTATCAGATGCTTAGCTCCTTCAACTTCTAAAAATTGACGAGAACCCAAATTGTTCTAGTGCATGTTTACTTTCAATTTAAACACATGACAAAGAAAACTGAGTTCTTACGTTGTGAACAAAGACAGTATTGTTTGTTTCTTTTATTTTGAAGAAATGAGTATCTCATCAGAAGTTCTAAAATAAAAAAAACGTTGATCTCACTGCAGACTCAGATAGAATGTCAACTTTTTCAATAGGTGATTACATTCATCATTCAAGTGTTTTCTCTTGTCAAGAAATGAAAACTTGATTCCATTTTCTAATTAACAGCATTATAATGAAATTATCTTTTGTTTTTCTTTTATTCTAGTGGTGTCATTCAGTTGAAAAACCAAAAGATGGCAGTGTATTTGGTTTATCATGGTCAAATGATAGTACACAGTTAGCATGTGGATGTGGTACAGGTCGAGTAGGAATCGGACATATTATTGAACGGTATAAAATTAGCTATTTGGTATATCAATAGGAAAAAGAATAATTCTTTAAACTTTTTGTTTCAGTCGTCTTGATTGGCGTCATTTAGAATTTATTCTAACTGATTCAAAAGTTATTACTGTAAGCAATTGTGAAACAGAATTAAAAGATAAAATTGAACTTAAAGATCGTCTTGTTAAAATGTCGGTCGGTTTTGGTTATTTAATTATATTAACAAGTAGTCAGGGTTTAATTTATAAGTAAGTAAAAAAATAAAACGATTAAATATAAAATTATAATAATTATTTAATTTATTTAGTTGTAAACATCTTGGTCATCCAGCTCTATTCGATTTACGTGATATGTCAATGAGTTTAATTGTTCAAGCAGAAAAGTAAAATTACAAAACAGTGTATGATCATTGTTTTCTAATTTATTTCATTTAGATATTTTCTTCTTTCGGATGGAATCAATATTTCAGTTTATTCATACGAAGCTCGACTTGTTTCAACACCAAAATTACTTTCAGCGAAACCTGATTCTGTGAATATTAATACTATTTCAATCAGTCCTGATACCATTGCTATTCGTGATGCTACCGATACAAAATGTAAAATAATTGAAAATTTTTATTTTAATTATTTCATAAGATTAAATACAAAACGAAGACTAGCTACATATGAGAGAATAGAATCTAGGTGGATTTTGTGTTCTATCTTGAATCAGAGTACCATATGTGTAATTTTATAGAGCAACTTGCATCGCATCAAATCCTGTATAAGAAATCAAGTTTTTCTCAAATTTTCACATGCCAAGGGTTCATATACTGATCATAATCCTTGAGCCCTTTCTTGACTATATGATAGTTCCGTATATTCAACTCTGATCTATAGGACAATTAATTATTAATGTGAAACTTTCTCAAAAGTTGCATAATATCGAGCTTTGTATCTAGATGTTTGAAAGATAACATCTTTCGGAACAGTAGGGATTCATTGTCAACTTGCAAGAGTGTCTTCTAGAGAATATCTTATTCTTTATATTGAGGAAACTGGTATATTGACGATAGTTGAACAATATTCAACGATCCTATTAAAACCTTTTATGCACCAATAATCAGTACAGCGTTCCTGATGAACTGATATGAATAACTCTTTTATAAGCGGAAAATAGCTTATCGCCTTCGGAGCCTTAGATGAGGGTACGAGGATATGAAAAAATTTATTTTTGAAATGATCATTAGGTGTATATAAATTCTTTTAGAGCTTCAGGGATAGGTCAACTCTAGATACTAGGAATAAAACTTGAAAACAAAATAAAAATAAAAGACTTCCTTTCTGCAACTAAATTAGTACTCCCCTCCAGGAATCTGGAGGGCAACATTTTTTTACCCGTTTTTTAAAAAGTTATTTATGTCAGTTCATTAGAAATGCTGTGCTGATTACTGATGCATAAAAAAATTGTAATAGAATCGTTAAATATTGTTCAAAATATCGTCAATATACTAATTAGTTCCTTCACATAAGAAAATTGGCTATTCTAGAGGACAATTTTGCAGGGTTGACAATGAATTTCTGCTGTTCCAAAAGATATTATGTATGAAACATATACAGCTCGATAGTGTACAATTTTTGAGAAAGTTTCATGTTAATACTTACTTATTCTGTAGTGTCGACATGAACACATTACAATATCATACAGTCAAAAAATAACCTATAAGGCTTAACAGAAGAGACCATTTTTAGGTATGAAGAAAGCAACAAAGGAGAATATTGATTATAGAAAAATTGAAGCATACCTATAACTGTATTGAACTAAATTCAAAAATTAATTTACATGAATGTATTTTAAGGACCAAAATGTCCACGAGTATCATATATATTTCTGAAAAACTATAATCAGTATATAATCCCTCAACATAGGAAAATTTGAGGAAAACTTAATTTCTTATATACATTCGAAGCTCTGCAAATCGCTTCACAAAATCATATATTTGATATTCTGATTCAAGATAAATCCCCAAGTTCGGCAAAGTCCTTCATAATAATTTATTTCTATTTAGCTATTATATTTTTCGATGTTAATGGTAAACCAATTGGTGATGGAAAACCTGTATCACATGCTGTAAATAAAAACTTTTTTAGTCTTTTCATAGTCTTATAAAATAACAGATTGCAATCTTTTTTTCCAGTATGAAATAATTCATTTGGCACTTGATCAAACAGGTTCACCAAATGAACGTAAACTTGCATTCGCAGATAAATTTCAAGACTTATTTATTATGCAAGTTCGTTCAGCGGGACAAAATCAACGATTAAATAATCAAAGAATTCGAAAACTTTGTATATTTTTTGTTTTAGATCTTTTTTTTATTTTAAATATTGGAATTTATTTATATATTAGGTACAAATATTGGTAGTTTTCGATGGAATGATAAAAATGCTATGTTAGCAGGCATAGCTGATGGAAAACTTAAAATATGGCTTTATCCAAATGTTGTTTTTGTTGATCCAAGTTTAGTTGATAAAACAACTTATCGAATAGAATCAAAGTAAATTGAAAATAATTATTTAACTAAATTATATTTTCTTTTTATTTAAAGTGATTTTGGTAAAAATCCATCAATATCAGATTTTCTTAGTTCTCAAATAACAATACGTAAATCAACGGGTGCACTTATACAATCTGTTATACCAATTTATTATGAATTATGTCTTGATTTACTTGCTGCTAATCGTGCTGAAGAAGCATTACAATTATGTCAATATATTGCTGTAAAGAAAAAATCAGAAGCAGAAAATTTTTGTTCTAATTTATAATTATTTAGGATGATTCTATTTATGCATTAATTGCAGTTATTTCATTACATAATCGAGATTTTGATTCGGCTGAAAATGCTTTTGCACAATTATCAAATGTAAATTTTAAAATTAAAAAGAAACAAAAAAAAAAGATTTTAATAAATAATTTAGACTGAAATGGTTTTTTGTTTACAAAATCTTCGTTCAATTTCATCAAAAGAAGAACGTGAAGCTGAACTTGCATTACTTGCTGGTGGAAATATACAAGAAGCTGAAGCACATTATTTACAAGGAAATAAACCACTTCATGCTATCATGTTACATCTTAATGAACATAATTGGGATCGGTTTGTTATATTTTATTACTAATATTTTTTTTAAATTAAAATATCTATCCGATGACATGATTTCCTTGACTCTTGAGATTCCAGATCAAAAATCTATGTTTTTTTGTTACGGAAAGAATGATCTTCCTGAAACTTTCACAGTGTCCATTTTCAACCCTAGATAGTTGTTTTTTTGAAAATTTGAGCGCAAAAGATTGAACTGTTCGAGAGTTATACTAGAATTTAGGATAAAAAGTTAGGTATATGTATGGCAAAGATTTCGAATGAGTGTTAAAATGTAGTCAAGATCTGCCGCTGTAACCAACGAAAGAATCAACTGAAATAATACCCGCCCTTTAGGTTCATATTGAACTTACAAAGATGTCTTGGTTGGAATCGCAAGTATCTAGCACGGGTTGCCTCCATGAGCATTTAGGACCGCGTTGGGATTGTATTACTGAATTTTCAACGCATTTTTAGGTATTTTCTGAAAAATCAAGTTCTATGTTTTTGGTTTTTCGTGATGGATCTAAAGATGCATCCAAAAATTCAGTAAAACGATCAATGTTTTATCGAGATTTCATCCTCAAGAGAGTTGAATATATAGATTTGGCAGCATAGACACATAGCAGATGATACCATAAACATAAACTTTGGGAAGACCAATCCAATCTTCTAAGAGGCGTTACCTTCTCGGCCGTCACGCTGAATAAAACACTGAAAACAATCCTTACTCTGCTCCAAAGATTCACGAGTGCGAACTCTTTTAGATTTTTTCTAGTCTTCTTTAGCTCTTCTTGTGAGCTCAATATGAGTTCAAACGGTGAGTATCAGCTCGAGTGATTCCCTCGTTAATAGAGCTGACGTTTTGAAAATTCTCTTTCTTTAATTTTTCGAAAGCTTTTATGTTCAAAGTTTGAAAAATTAGAGTGATTTGTCGGAAACGAATTTATTTTTCTCAAATATGAAACAATAGGTTTTTAAAAATCTAACTTCGTTAAGTTATAGCGTATTGCTATCATTTCATTTTGAAAAACGTCTTCAAGATTTTTAGCATTTAAAATAGCCGAGAAATCTTTCGTAAACGAGCAAGAGAAAACGAAAACAATGCGAAACAAGTTTTAACTTAGAAAACGAAGTGTTTTTTGTTGAGACTATATATGAGCGAAGGATCGTGAAGAAAATACTTTCAAACATCTGTATCTTTATCAAAAGGTTGCCAAATGATTTAGTCCAATGAATTTGATAGCTTGGATCGTAGTTGTTTGCTTTTGATTAGTTATGATAATAGATGAGATTGAAATTCAATCGTCTTACTGTTTAAAAAAAAAGAGTTTTATGTTTGAGGTTAAAGAAATAATATTAAACATTTCTTAAACTTTTCATGTTTCGAATAAGAAAACTTTCGTCTTATATTCCAAGTAAACAAATACGAAATTCTATTTCCGAATAGATAGTAAATTTCACAAGGCCTATATATAAATGTTAAATCTTTCTTTTCAAAATATGAATTCAACAAATATGATTTAATCAATAACTTTCAATATTGAAATTTTATATTTTCAATTTTTCTCTTATTTTAGAGCAATCGATTTGACTCAAAGGCATCCTCAATATTTAGAAATCGTTGTTGGTTATCGACAAAAATACCTAAAAGATTATGGTGGTGGTAAAAAGGAAACTAATTCAAAATATTTACAAGCAATGAAAAATGTCAGTTATTTATTTATACTTTTTTGTTTGTGTTCTATGAAATTGTTTTTTTTTTCTTCAATTTCTTTTCTAGGTTGATGTTGATTGGGATCGAATAGATGCAAAATTACAAAAAGAATTAGGCGAAGACAGTGCTTTAAGAATTAGCGAATAAATAGCTTTCTTTCTTTTTTTTTTCTGGCTTTCTTTTTTGTTTTTCGCACATCTTATTTCATATTCAAGGAAGAAAAATCATTGTATAGTGAATTTTTCGATCATAATATTATCATATTTTGTAATGTGTTTATTGAAAAACAAAAAAATAAAATTTTCATCATCATTTAAGATTATATTTTAATCATGAGTAATAATCAACATCGTACAAAATTGAAAAATAAATCAACATCTTCTGCAAAGTTTGCTTAGTTTTATTTATTTTTTTCTATGATCGATTAAATTATTTTTTTTTGTGATTTTGATCTTCTAGAGATCGTTTAATAGACAATGAACAAGCTATTCCAATTCCATCTCGACAAGATCATTTAAATGATCGAACTGATTTTACATTAGATCCATCATTAATATTTGATGAATTACCACAACCATTTCGGTTTGTATAAAATACAAAAAAAAGAATAAAATAAAATGAATTTTTTCTTTCGAAACTTCTAGACGAATCAATAAAGTTCTTGAATTAATATTTCATGATGCATGGACAATTATTGAACAGCGTGAAAAACAACGTCTTACTGATCAAACAAAATTTGTATCAGCTCAACATACATCATCAACAATAATAAATGTAATAATGAAATAGAGTTTATTATTAGTAAAGTCTTCGTAGTGAGTCTATTGAGTTCAGAATTTTTTAGCACTTGACTAGAAAATGCTTCCATATGTTCAATCTACTAACTTTTTGAAAAACTTCTCAAAGAATACTACAGAAACTGGGTGGGTACCCAGTTAGCTTCATACACTGAGGAGGGAATCCTTCCGATTGATCAATCACTTTTGAATTCGGACTTTGTGCATAGAATGAACCTTAGTGAGATATAAAAAACCTCAAAAGAATTGGCTTTCTAGACCTTTCGTTCAGAGTTGTTGGCATTTTATTGTAACTTTAGCCTCAGACATGGTATACACCAACAAATCGAATGAGACTATTTCGACCTGAAATTTTGCCTTCAGACAGTTCTAATTGTCAGTAAAATGCTCTGAAAATTTCAGTTTAAAGGATTACTTTACTACCAGAGATATTAAAATTCCCAAAATCATTCATATTCACGAAAGATACTATAATTTTTCTAATTTTTGGAACTTTAATATCTCTGGAAGAAAATATTCTTTTGAGCTGAAACTTCTACGGACATTCTACTGACAAGTAAAGCTGTCTATGGGAGAAATCTCAAGTTGAAATACTATCATTCGATTTATTGGTATATACCATGCCAGTGATTAAAGTTCCAGTGAAATGCCTATAACTCAGGATAGAAGATTTAATGGGATTTATCCTTTTGAGTGTTTTCATATCTCACTAAGTTCTATCCTATGCACAGAGTCCGAATTCGAAAGCAATTGATAATCTGAAAAAGTTCCTTCGTGAGACGATTCTCAGCAAGGTACTCCACCAAGAGCCCGTAACGTACCGGTAATAGAGTACCCGAAAAAGTCTATGTTGAGAACTGACCTTGCACACAGATGCCTTGGACTCATTACACTCACTAGAGTTTTATTAGTGAATACTTCTTATTTTCAACTTTGACATGATCTTTATAGTCCCGATGTCTATTTTAACCCGTTTTAAACGAATATGGGTAACACGAATGTTGCTCCCTAGATATATGCTCTCAGCGACATTTGCTTCCTGGATGGTTGAAAATGTTGGTGTCAGTATCGGCATTGGTGACGATAAGGGTGGAGAGAAGTTGTTAGTGTGAGTGTGAATGGAGATCTGAATGTGGCTGGATGTGAGCGAGAGTGTCGATGTGCCTAGTTGTGGGTAGCAACTGTTGCTGGGGAGCATCTTTCATGGAATCATATCGAGACCAAAACAATAATACAGCACTTTACAAAACAAAGCAAAGTTTTCTATTGTATCGAAAACTATAAATATCCAAATAAAACAAGATAAAAAACACAGAGAATAATCTTTGATTACTTCCAAACTAGTAAAGAAGTTTATATTAGAATCCATCGGATCCGGATCCAGAAATTCTTGAACCCAATGGACTGTACTCTATACTCGGAAACTTTTTTTCATTTCTAAGTGAAATATATGACATCTCTTCATAGTGAAGAGTTTTTGCAAAGTCTTGGTGTTACACATTAAAGAGATGCTTTGCTGTAATTTTTTTTTGTTTAAAAAATTTGTTTTTAATATATTTATTGTCTTAGACTCCATTTCCTATATCACTAATTGGTAGTCATATATCTGGTACATTATGTTTTTTTAATGGTATTCAAAATGAACAATCATATCTTGTTTGTTATGATAATCAAATTGATGAAATAATACATTATATTACAATTGATAATCCTATACAAAATATGACTGTATTTAAATCTGATTCATCAATAAAAGATACGATTTATTTTTTAAGTATTATTGATAAATTAGGTATGATGAAATGACAACTTTTTATTTTTTTCGAAATCGTTTCTTTTTTTTTTTTGTAAAATAAAATTTCAGGTTATTGGAAAATGATTGCTTATAGAAATCAACAGTATTATCTTTTATTTACACAATATGAAACAGACGTATGACTAGAAATTTAAATTATTTATTTAAATGAATTTATTTTCATCAAAGGATGATAATAAAAGACCACAATGTTTAATGACACAAACTGGTTTAAATGATGAATATTTAATTGTTTCTTGGTTTGGTATGTTGAAAGAATTTTCTTAACGACAAAATTCTTTTCATTGAATTTATTCGATTTAAGGTAATAATGATTCATGGTTTGAAGTATACAAATTATCAAAAGAACAATGGAAATCCGAGATTGCAGCTCAAGAACAGGTTTTTTTCTGGATTGAAAAAATGTTTTTCTTGAGATATAATTAATAGGCTATGGCTGGAAATGAGAATCAAATAGAATCGAATGCATCAGATCAATCAAAAGAAAATAGTTCAACATTATTACGTGGTCAATTTTCACGTCCCCCTTTATTGTTTAAAACTAAAGCACCTAAATTTAGTCCAGGTAAAAATAAAAACTGCTTTTTTTTTCTTTTGGTATTTCTTTAAATAATTATATTCATAGGAACGAATAATTTTCAACAATTAATGAAATATACGGAAAATCAATCGAATATTGCACAAGGAATATCAAATCATTTTTATACTCA